ATCGGTATTTGCCACCTTCCTTTGCCGATTTCAGCCACATCTGGACATAATCGTCCTTGACAGGATTCCTGTCCTAATTGACCAGTGTACAGGGTCAAGGGTCACCTAGTGCTCACTAGTGTTCATTCGCGTTAAAAATAAAAAACACCTTTTCTTACCCCAGTCATGACTCAATCAATCTCAAATTAGGGTGGTTACATCTTTGCAGGAAACACCATGGGGGTGGTTAACAGACTTTGTCTGATGGTCACCTAATGGTTAGTGGGGGTCTTTTTATTTCAAAACGTTCTTCTATTGGTTTTCCAAATGTAAAACCTGATCGTTTTCATCTCTGCAGCAAGCCTTATGTACGGTTTACACAGAAGTCGGCCAGTGGTCACATGGTGGTCCGTGGAGGTTACTCAATTTAGATCAAACATATTAATTAATGTATGCCTACTAAATTGTTCAACAGAGAACCGTGATGTACATTTACATTGTACGTAGCCTAAATGTACATTTTGTACTGTGCACATTTACGCTAACCGGTCACTGGCCCACGTGTGTTGCCCACTAGCACATTACTCTAATCGGCTACTGGCCCACGGGGTGTTGCCCGTACGTGTATTACTATCAATAGACCGATTCGCTGACGCTATGTGGTGTTCCCAACAATCACGTGTGCAGCGACGGAAAAATTGAATCTGGTCCGTACCTCTAATATGTAGAGAATTCTGTGCAAAGTCCGTTTCCCCAACCAGACTATACACGATTTGCATAGGCCTCTGCAGTATGGACTGCAACGTCCGTCCAGCTAGCCAGCCAAGTTCACCTTGTGTTTTCCTTCCTCCTTGTTTGAACGCTAGATAGACTTGGACGAACCTTGTCATTTCCGCTAGTAGGCCCCTATGACATAAATCTCTGCTCTTATGTTCTTTTATAGCACATTTAAGCCGCACTTGACAGTGAAGTCACTTTGTGTTTACCTTCAACATTTCCAAAAGCTGCTCATGGTTCCGTGCTCCCAGAAGCACATTAGCTCTAGTTTTCTTTTTATCTTTGATGGACACTAGAGAAATGCATTGCTGTGAATGCAGACGCCTATTGAAGAAAATATCTTCAACTCCTTGTAGGTGTACGAAATCCCTGGAGTAGTATAAAATCGACTTTTTCAACATCGTTTCTGCGACATTTTTCCCCTAAATTCGTTTGTTGGAGACGTATATTCTCCAGTTCGTTGATATGAGATCTGTATTAGAAACGTTGCTTCTATTTCTGGAAACAAATCGTTTTTACAAGATATATTTTTGGAGATACACTTTCCAAGTTAATTTCCAGAAGATTTTAATAATTATTTTTCAGTTTTAATTTATTTCTCACAAAAATGAACTTCAAACACATATAACTCGTGAAAACGAACTTTAGAAATATCCTGAAAAGGACTTAGAAAAATATATCCTATTTCCAATAACGATGTTTCTAACTGTAGATGTCATACAAACGAACTTGAGAGTAAATGTCTCCAACAAACGAAATTTGAGGGAAAATGTCTCGTAAAAACAACGTGGGAAAAAATTATTCACAAAAACTTCGAAGGTTTTTGTGTCAGTATAGGCACAAACATATTTGTACAAGCCACGATTAGGTAAGGTAATACAGTGCACCTTAAGAGCGACCACAGGCGAAACACCTGGATTGTGTACATACCCAGGTTGGCCTCGTCAGGGATGTACAACATTGGTACATGGTGCGTGCGCTGAGAGTCAGGTACTGGGTCGACGCACTAGCCGGTGAACTTTGACGTGAATCGACCTATCGTAATATAGGCCTACGTGGAATATGTAGGGTGAGCAAAAAGTACACATTTGGTACGCTCAGCTGTCTCTAGTCTTGGTCAAGACGTTGCGATGTTACTGATACGCGAGAGAGCGTTCACAAGACCAACAGCCGGAACGCACGAACAATGTGCGTTCCAGCCACAGACATATAAACGCATAGATGTCTAGCGTGTAACCTTTTCGTAAGTGTGACATTCCTTCGGTTTAAACCACGCCCACTGCACATGCACTGCGCATAGAGTTATGCACTGATCGCCATTTACATGGAACCAAGAAACCCGAAGTTAACGCGCAACGTCAGCGATCGTCCAATGAGAGCCTGCAAATCGTTGCGCGTCCGCCTTTGTCACGAAGTCACTTACGAACCGGGAAGCCGGTTTGACTCCGATACGGACTTTAATTACCCGCTGCCGGCTCGTTCTGCAAGCACAGATCATACACATAGCTCTCTGCACATACGATCCACGAACCAGACCAACTTACGTAATGAGCTGCCAGTTGCCCAGTGCAGTAATGGAGCGAATTTGGCGGGCACTGGCTAGTTGACTGCCTACATTGTCCATAAACCTGACTTACCAAACAAACCTGACGTAGGCCATTGGTTGTTGGTGCTTGTTGGTTGTTGGTGAACAACGTTGAGACCTTACCTGGAATCGGCAAGAGTGATCACGAGGTTGTTAGAATCCTTATCTGCTTGCAACCAAAGTATACACCTAAACCTCCTCTCAATGTCTTCCTCTGCTCTAAAACTGACATGTCTTCACTACGGGAGGAGTTATCGAAGTTTGGTGATGATTTTGTTCAACATGCCAAGAGGTTTAGTGTTCAGGAGAACTGGGGTAGTATAAAAACAAGCTTTCTTCCCTAATGGATAAGTTCATTCCAGCCGAGGTGACTTCCACCAGACACAATCTACCTTGGTACACTACCAGACTGCATGAATAGGAGACTCCAGAGATTATACAATCAACAAAAGACGACCCAATCTGAGACAGATAAGGATATCCTGAAGTCTTACCGTACCACCTACAAAAAGGAGCTTCATCATGCTCAAGCCAGCTTCATTAAATCAACCACGACCGACAAGTACCAGTAGAATACCAAAACGGTCTGGAAGATAGTTAAATCTAAGAAAGTTGAAAATTCTGGTATACCTTCCATTAAACTACAATGATACTTTCAAGAGTGGGTAATTTCAGACATGACTTTCTGAGCTGTTTCTCGAGGCCGCTCCATTCCTTTAGTTTTGTGTGATTGCAAAAAAAATTAGCTCAAAAAGTAACAGTCGAATACTTCTTATATGAGAACCAAATTGCATTATCAATGGTAACAAATTATTTTGTACATAATGTGTTTTATACCTGTAATCAAATTGTAAATAATATTCTTTTGATGAATACATGGACCATTCCTGATAAGTTAGGTAATGTGGTACTCATTACAGTAACGGAATCGCTGTTCTACATCAATTAACTTTAAACCTGTAAGAAGGAATCAAAATTTCATGTAATTTACTGGGTGTTTTTTTTAACTTTCAGACAGTAATTCGTCATCATCTCTAATAACTGTCATTTTTTAAATACTCTTGATACAGCCTACTAAAAATTTGTACATTGGAACTAACTGCTTCCCTCACTCCTTATTTCTGAGTGGATCCACTCGGTAACAGTACCACAGTACCAAAGCGATCCTCGAGCACAGGGAAGACGTCATCCAAAAAAAATTCCATGCCCCGACTCATGACCTTTTGACCATTTATCTCATGTAAATTAGACCTTGACTTGAGTATGCATCACCATCCTGGTCATCTACTCTCACAATTCAACAATCTGACCAAAGTGAACGTATACAAAGACGTGCATGTCGAATTATTCAAGGTTACAATAATTACTTCGAATAGTCACTTGCCCTTGAATTCCTTAACATACCATCATAAAAACGACGGCGAAATCAAATATTAGAGAAAATTGCCGGAACCTTAGTGAACTCAAAACCTAGATCTTTACTCCCTCCGCTTTGTAGTTCCTTACCAAATTTCCGCCCGCTTAGAAGCAATCGTGGTCTCTTTAACGCAATTTTGCCGTACCTCCAGATACAAAAAGTGGGCAGTCCCCCAAATGGTCAAAATAATTTTTAGTGATTTTTATCCTCTTAGTTGACAATTTAACTTGCTCCTCCTACGTGCAATATATGTATTTGTTATTGGTGTCGGCGTCATTGTTTTTGTGGCTGTCGTACGTGGTTTATTTAGAAAATTGTAATAGTTTTGACTAAATTTTAATTGTTAATAATTTTAATGGTTTTCATATTTGTAAATCAATCATTATGAGTCCTACGACTCACTGAACTGATATCGTTTTTACACCGAAAGAAATAAATAAAGCACCAAACGTAGGCCTGCATATGGAAAGGTGCCTTAATTTTTTTCTTTCACGTTCGTACGTGAAAACAATAATGTACGTACGTGATACTTTCACGTACGTACATGAATCTCTCACTATATTTTCGAGAAAAATGTCAGAGATCGTGGCAGTCTTCCATAGGTTAGCGTCGGTTTGTTCACAAACGGTAAAATGGCCGCAACACAACTTCCTGCGTGTTCAACCGAACAGGGGCGTTGCAGGTCCAGATTTTATTCTATACGTCGTTGATTATCTGTGGTTGAACAACGGTTGACAAGACGCTGCAAATGCCGTATAATTAATCCTTCAGTGTGTACAAGTTTCAATCACTTTGTGCAACAGGCCGCCCAATAGGTGTATGCTAGTCATCTGCACAGACGTCATCCTAACCGCCAAGATCAAATGTTGCTTTCTACCGTCCTAATGGTCGAGACAGGCCATAGCGTCCTTCTTTTAAGAATATAAGGCCTATTTTGCTGCCAAAATGGAAAAAAAATAAGAATAATACTAAATGAAGTCATAACCCCGGATAAAAAAATGGTTGGTAAATATTTCCTCAATTTTATCTATTTTTTTCAAGTGCTATGTGAGCTAACCCTAGACTAAAACGCAATAATCTTAGTGATCACCGTGACTAAATAAAGGTTAAATGAGTTTTATGTGGAACCCAGTCGCGCTTGCACGAGTTAAACCAAGGGAGATAATCGAACGCACTATCAGGGGATATTAGTCAGAATTTATACCGTTTTAATTTAACCTATATGTTCCTGCTTTGTTTTAGCCCTGAGTTTTATCGGTATATCATCAGTCATTGAATTTGCCAGTGACTGCCTAATGAGAAGGGAGCCGTGGGTATTGACAGTGACCTCACTAATCAGCGTTCTCATAGTCCTCCTATTGATAACCATCGCCAGGCAACACCAGAGCAACACTGAGATCTCATTCAAAGTAAGATAATATTAAACTTCAAAAAGACGTTTTCAATTGAAAAAGTACTCCGACTAACTTAGTCCTTTTATGCCAATGATGCTGATGTAGTCCTGAATTTAAAATACGTCAATGTTTCTCCATCTGTTTACTGTGAAAGCATGGTTGTATCTGAATTTACAACATGGTGGGCAATCTTGGAGTCGACAGTGGCGTAAATTTTTCCCAGTAAAGGGGTGGGGGTGGGGAAAGATATGTGGGGGATGACATGAATAGTTGAAAAGCAGGGGGAAGGTGACACAACATGACTCAATATAGAGGTCGATGTTTGTGATGTTAATGTACATCTGTAACATGTAATCAGAATGGCTCATTTATGGCTTTTGAAATTGTTTCCCTCGTTGAGTGCTATTGAATGCATTTTAGTCGTTGGAAGTCTGAAAACTTCTTCACAGTCCACCTTAAGTTTTTGCTTACCACAAAAAAAGTGTGTGAGGAATGCAGTAGCCCGTCCCCAACCTCAACAAATGGCGGGTATATACCCCCACCCTTCTGGGATTTACGACTGTGGGTATCGAGTAGAACATTGCCTAATACTTCGGGACAAACAATGTTGCATTAATTCTGAAGCATGTAGTGTCCATAAAATTATGTAAACATTTTCCTCTTTTTCCGCATGAATTCTTGGAATTAACCTGAAGAAAAAGGGGCAAAATAAATCTCCATTGAATCTGGACTGCTGGAAAGCTACCAATCTTACAATACTCGGAGTGGGTTTGAAGGCTCCACATTTACAGATAATGAGAACATGCAAGATCTGATTGGGTCTTCGTGACAATTATTGCCCTGATGAAACAAAATCATGCTACGCCACCTTACGCGCGAAAGAGCAACTCCAAAACATTCCACGTGTTCTTGCTCCCCGGCTCGCTCGCTCGCTCACAGATGGTAGGAAGTCCATGTGTCCATTTTCAAATTTGCCCAGCTTGCAGTGTGGCCCATCTTACCACCATCCTGAGACAAGATAAAAGCATTGTGGTCAATTCAGGGAATTCCTAACATATTTTTGCAGGTGCCGATGGTGCCAGTAGTACCGGCAGCCAGTCTATTCATCAATATATACCTACTTGTTCAGATAGACAGTCTGACCTGGGCTCGTTACTTGACCTGCATGTTTGTCGGTACGTGCTCAAATGTTGTTATACAAACAAAATAAGAAAATTACGTCCATTAGGGATTTTCCGATTTAAGTGCCTTTTCTCGATTTTTTCCTATATTGTCGTTAAACCTTTATCCTGCGTTGTTTCTATTTTGTTTAATCATGAAATACAAGTAAATTCCCTTCTCTGTCCACAGGTGTGGTAATCTATTTTGGCTACGGGGTATGGAACAGTAAAGAGTGTAGCGTCGATCCTGCGACCCGACGACATAAGAAAATCGTAGCTTCGGCGAAAAAAATCGCAAAAGAAACAGAAATGGAGCAGAGCGGGAAAAGCTGCCGGATGGCTGAAAACGATGCCTCAGGAACTCACACTCTTTTGTCTGCTTTTGACATGTCACCGATTTTATAATTTTTCTCCCTTTATCACTTATTTTCCTTTGACCGAACAAAACTGGGAAACTTGCGACCTTGTTCACCCAAAGGGGTTTGGTGTACTCAGTTCGTGTGTGCTTCACGTACGACATGTGTAACCAGCAAAGTGGTTACTTTTGAGTAACACCCACGAGTTGTTTGACCCACAGCATGGCCACAATGGCAGAGCTGGACGGCTTGTAAAATGAAGGGGTGGAAGCTACCAGCAGGACGCATGTCTTTTTTAATACAACTGTCTGGGGATACACCATGTATTTTCCTATGGGAAATAGCCCTTGAAAGGGGACTAGTCTTCTTGCCTCGTGGACAGTTTCCCTGTTGAAATGTTAGAAGTAATTTCCCTTTGAAAAAAGATCTTCTAGTGCCACTATTATTGCTTCTATTTGAGTTAGGTTTCCCAGCGTGTTGTGCAAAAAAGATTCGCCAGCAGGACTACCAGCTTGTACTGAAAGGGTTTGATGAAACCGGGGCCTCTAAATTGCTCTATTTTGCAACGGAGTGTAGTCATCAATATTCAAAATGGCAATGAGCTTCACTCTTGTTTTTATGGTTGCAGAAGTATAAGCTGCCTGAGACAAGGGTGATAAATACCCTAATTAGAAATCAAAAAATATACCCACACGTTTCTCGGGAGAAACATATATCAAATTAAAGCTCATTTCTTCATCTATAATTTTCCTTTCAATTTTTCTTGAATGGAGATGACTCTTGAAGATGTTGTTCAGAAATTATCATTCCTATACTTTCGAATCTCAACGCCATTTTGAAAATTGATACCTAAACTCGCAGTCCTGCTCGTAGCTTATGTCTTCTTTTTACAAAACACTCATTCCACGCGCCGAAAAATACTCTAATAGCAGAGAATTTGACAACATACAAATCGTGGTTTGGCCCGCGAGGGCAAGTTTGGGCATATTTTCTGGCTTCCAACCTTATATGGGGTGACCATTTTTGGATTGAAATATCTGCACAGTGCATAGGTCATCAGTTAACCCTGAAAACTGAAAAGAAAATAAAAGATACGGAAATAAACTATAATTCTGTGTGTGTCTTTAACACCTGATAAACTTGTTAATAGTTTTTCTTTTTAAGTTGAACCATTTATCACTCCCCCTGTTGTCTATTGCAGTTTATTTGCTGGCTTCCTCAGGTTAACATCTTAGAAAATTATCGAATACACCCCTGGCACTGGTTCCTGCACCCTCCAAAAAAAGAGATAAATGGACTCGTGACTCGTCTAAGCGCATCTAGTAAACAAATTCTTCTGAGCTGCAATGATTTCATTTGATCACCTCGCAGAAGTGTCATGCATGTGTAATTTACGAAACTCCGCGGTTAGCCCCATTAAGCATGGTATTGTATTTTTTTCTCGCTATGTGTAGTAATATGAAAAAGGAGAGAGAATTGTCAAACACCTTTCCCCTGGGTATCTCGGCTACCCTGCGATTCTTTTACATTTTTTTTAATTTGAAAAAAAAGGTACTTTCCACGACCCATCGAGGACATTTTTTAAAAATCAACACTCTTTTGCTCTCTTTTTCCATGTGATAGCATTTTTTAAAAACCCACCCCCAAAAAAGATCCTGTATGCCTCATTGAGGAAACAACAAAATTTTTAAAATCAACACTTTTTTCTATGTGATAACAACATTTAAAAAAAAAACGCCAAAAACGAACCCAGTGGACGACTGAGACGTGGCCTTTGTGGGTGTGGTCTACTAATTCAAACGAGATTTTTGCCCCCAAAGTTTCTTTTGAAGTTTTGAAGGGTGGGATTGTGTAAATTCTTGCAAGAATCAAGTTCAAAGGTGTTTGGCTTCCATCTTTGAGCAGAATGGCTTGAAAATCACGGTTGAAATTTGTCCTAGATGCCAGAGGAAGTTGCGGGTTGGCAAGTGAAAAAACCCTTTTGGGGGTTGTTTTTATGTGTATAAATTAAAGTATCATCAGTAAACCCCTCCAAAAAAATAAAAATAAAAAAAATGAAAAGAAATTGAAAGATTTAAGGACCAAAGAATAATTCCAGTTTTGTTTGACAACCTCAGGGTTGTCGGCTTGCAATAATGGAGCCCTGAAGATTGTAGATTGTACACTGTTTTCAATGGAGCTTGAATTAGTGGACTTCACCCTATAGCGGAGAGATATAAATACGACCAGTTGCCCCGAGCGACTAACAAAAAAAAACAAGGCTCCGGCTCTTACGCAGCTACAGCATTAACCAAGCGAGGCATTGTTTCATTCACACAGCGATTCCCGTTGGGCGTTTTGCGATATTTGACCGTGTCCAATCGTTATAAAAAATTGGTGCTGAAACAAGGTAAGTAGAATTGCATAAGTTGTGCCTGATTTTATTTTTAGAAAAATCCTTTCCCCGAATAAAAAAATTCCTGATTTGCGGTTTTCAATTCTTATTTTTCCAGAACTAAAAGCCATGGAGGGCAGTATGGCGGAGTTTACGATGGAGGAGCAACTGTGAACTTAGAAAGCGTGTGGAGCTCAAAACGATGAGGTACTGCAAAGAAATGGAAGACTAACCTATCGTTTGTAAAAACTGTGAAAACCGCAAATGAAGGTACTCTAGTTTGCCTGACTCATTAAAAAATTTTTATGAAGGAAAAAGGTACTAGCTGAATGAAATTGCATAGCGCTGACCCACGGGTCTGGTTCTTGCACAATGAGCCACACTGCAGTATGATGCATTATAATTTTTTAAAAAGGAATCGCGTAGCGCTGCAGCTCATTATTTTGTAACACGGGGTAAGGAGGAGCGCTAGGATAAATAGGTTGATATTTTGGCCGGAAATTTGCTTTGCATCCTTTGGGATTCGCTTCGTGGTCTTTGGGAATGTTTTTATTACATGTATAACTTATTGCGATTTTTATTCTGATTCGCCAAGTCTTTTCCCAAGTTCTGTCAGGAGACCTTTTTTTTTCCTTGTCAAACATTTTTCTGGCTACAATTTTGCTCGTTCTTCAATTTCTTGCTTGTTTTTATTTTATTTTATTTTTAAGTTTTGTATTTACTCGCGATCTAATTTTTTTTAGTTCTTTAAACTTTCGGAGTTCAGACCTAATCAACACAGATTCGTTTGCTGGAGTATTTTAACAGAGCGTACGAGTCCTTTATTGCGCACAAGTCTGAAGGTTGACCTTTATAGTAATTATCGCTGGTATTTAAATCTCGGCAGTGGATCCACTGTTCACTGAAAAGATTCGCGTTTATTTTTTTCCTTTATAGCGTACCTTTTGGTACAACTTTGAAACTTTTCGCCCAAACCTCAATTTAAGATTTACGTCCGTCAACATTATCGTAACTAAACTGGTTTCTCGGTGTACTCTAAAACTTACGCCCGGAATGGCGTTTAAAATAAACTCAAACCATTCAATTTCATATAACCCCGGAGGAATAACGATGCTACCACGCTCTCTAGCCTGCAATAATTCAGTCGGGGTACCCACAGACGGTGTGTGTAAACGTTGCATGCTTAAAATATTGAAAAAGGTAACCGAACTAGCATCTTGGTTCTGTTCTGGTCCGTTTTGTCTCTGGGTTCTATAAACCCTTCTTGAATAAAATTTAATGCAAAGCGGCGTGCTTCCAAAATAATATCTTCTTTCTCTCTAGTCAAAAGCATTATGAAATTGATCATGTTTTGTTGCTACTCTGTAAGCCCTTCTCCCGAGTTTTCTTCAAAATTTGTTTTTGAGCGTCGAAGTCATATAGTTTTTGTTTAATAGTATCTTTAAATTCTTCTAGATTTCCTGCCTCGTAAGCTCGAATAAAATTGCTTATTACGTCTGTCTCCGTTTAATCCTTCAAAAGGTTTTATGAATCTAATCGATTTTAAATGCTCTCATCGAGATCTCTTTCTTTAAAGGTGGATCTGTCGGTATTTGGACGGATTTCATCAGATGTTCTTTCGGCGGATCTGCCATTTAAGTGAGTTTGCCTGTGGATTTCAGTGGCGTTCGTAGTGTTAAAATACCCAGAGTGAAACACTACTTGTTAGGGCGAATACAATTGTAACCGTCTAAATTATCGTTAATGTCTTGCAATTTAAATGTCTGCTCGTTTTTAGTCAAGTAAAAAGTGTGCGTCTTCATCTTTTAAAAACCAAAAAGATAAAATAGTTGACTTAAGGAACCCAATTTTAGCCACTTGGCCATCGTTGTAAACAAAGACAACTGTTTTTGCTGAGTTTCACAACTTAACAAAGGCATACAGACTACCTCAAGTAACGCCCTAAATCAATCCAACGGCGATTTTGGGCCCGAAGAACCAAAAACCGAAGAGCCAATGCGAATAGAAACCAAACAAAAATCATTTTAACGCTTTAAGAAGTACACAACGAAGAAACAACATTTCTGACTGTCGGGGCGTTAGCTATTGGTGTTGCTTTTCTTTTGTGGTTTCACTAATTTCTACAAAACTTGAAGACCCCATAATATTTTATTGGATCTTTATCTATAGCATCCCAGGGAATATAAATTCGAATCTTCCAATAATTTTAACATCCACTAGGGTTTTTACAGTTTATGCAGTCTTTGCTGTTTAAACAATCTTTGCCATTTTTTTCAATTAATACAATTTACACAATTTATGCAAATTTTCACAATTATTGAAATTTTTACAATTTTCACAAAAATACAGCTTTTGCAGTCTCTGCAGTCTTGCAAATTAAGCAATTTTTAAACAACTATTACAGCAGAAATATTTTTGCAGTCATCACATTCTTGGCATTTAACCACGGTTTTAAAAGAGGCACAATTTATGCTATGTGTACAACCTTTATTTTTATTCATTTTTACAATCAATAAGTTAACACGTCGATAAAAGTCTAAAACTCCATAGTTATGAGTAAAAAAGAATTATGTCTTAAAACAAAGGAGGATTAACGTGTGAAAATCGTACTTTTGTTGACGAAATAATCATGCTCGGAAACAACCGCCATATCGGATCATATCATTATTATTTAGGGGTGATTTTGAATTCGCAAAGTTTTCCTGTTAAAAACCTTTCCATAAATAAGTTTAATTTCACACTGATCCAATTTATTTTTTACTTTACGTCTAACACTCAGGTTTCTATAATTTCAGTTCACAGTGCTTTGATTAAAGAATGTCGGTATATTTTTAGCTCCCTTTCCGTTCATTAATGGAGACTCCCACAGCATCTTCATATACTACATATAAGAAAATTGGCGCCTGTGAAAGGATGTGATGTGCGAAATGAAATTAACTCTATTACGATGGTCGGCCGACCATCGTGAAAAAAAGAAAACAAAATTTTTGTTTCTCGAAAACTACAGCATTCTGGGTGGAAATATTTACAGAATGATTGAGACTGTTATGTACTTTCTTTCAAGTAAGATATTTCAGGGTCATACGGTAGTCCGATTTTCGGGAATTTACCAATGGTGTACACCAACTTTAATAGTTATTTTGAGAACACTACCGAAATCGAGACCGGGATCATGCTGGTGGCGGCGTTGCAGTATTTGTCAGGGACACAGTTGGTCATAAGATAGATATTCCATACTGACAGTATGAATAACCTTGAATCAGTATGGCTGATGATTCAGCTGCCATCGACAAGACCACTGATTATTGGTTGTGTGTATTGACCATGAAACGTTCCAGGTAACAAAAATTGGGAATACCTTATCAAATAGATATGAATTTGGAGTCCCACAGGGAACCATCCTAGGCCCATTACAATTTTCAATATTAATTGATGATATTACGACTGCCACTGACCACTCAAAAATTGTCCTTTATGCTGATGATACTGCAATTTTTTATTCAAATAGAGATATCCATCAGATTAACATGTGTCTTAATCATGATCTCCAGAAAATTTCAAATTGGCTTAATGACAACATACTTAAATTGAATACTACCAAGTCAAAAAGCATGTTGATTGGTACAACCCAAAAACTGGCCAGATGTGATCATCCCAATATTAATGTATTTGTTAATTACTATCAACTAGAATAGGTTACTACTTATAAATATCTTGGTGTACACATTGATTGTAATTTGAAGTGGACAGACCACATTGAGCATGTAGCTTCTTCTGTTACTAA